GCCCGCACCTCCAACCAGGATGTTCCCAGGGTGCAGGTCGGCGTGGACAAAGTTGTCAACAAAGATCTAGGACGGAAAATCGTAGAGCAGCTCATACCAAGCCCGCCTGCCCGCACCAGAACTCCCCTGCGAGCAGCAGAGGTCTGTTCCTGCTCCTGATGTGCGCGGCAGCAAACGGCTCTGCTGGAGACCAGCGGTGCTGCGATGGAGGCTGCTGCTCCTCCAGGGGAGGGGAGCAGTGCTCTGTTCGATAGAGCTCAGGTGGGACACCTGGGACTCCCAGCAGGGAACAGTAGTGCTGGTTGGCATTTAACCCTAAATGGGTGAACTGGGGGCACGCTGGTGGGCCTTGGCAAAGAACAATGCAGCAAGAATAGGGCACTTGCCACTCCGCGGCACAGGTTGTAGTGGATGGGTAAGAGTTTTAGTACAGGGTATCCACTCACTTTACAACCATACTGAAAAGGAAGGCAAACAAGTTAAGAAGAAATAAATGTATGTAGCACTTCTGCGTCTCTCCTAACAGTTAGTACCAGGAAGGACTAGCAAGAGGGCGAGCAAAGGACTGTACTTCCCCACTAGCCCCTCTGGCTAGCTGGGACTGCAGGACTTCCTGCGTCAAGGAGGTTATCTTTGTATTTCATGGATTTCCCCTATGAATTTGTCCAACTGTCACATAAATACAGCTGCGTGAAAAAAAGGAGGGTTTTTTTTGGGTGTTGCTTGAAAACATGACCTCTGATAATTTTATGTCCTTATTGTTCTGTTTTGCAAAACCATTCACAACAGATCCATATTCACTCCCATGCACTCATGACTGCATGTGTCTGTCATAAGCTACTCATATTCTCTGCTTTCTAGAGATAAGAGTCAAAATTATTTCACCATTTCTGTATGGAAGCCATTCCACACCAGTAATCATCCTGGCTGCATTCCTCTGCACCTCTTCTACTTCTGCTGCAGCCCTTCAAATGGAAGGTCCTGCACAATGAGGGACTACAACTGCACAGAGTATTCAAGAAACAGTTTGGGGTTTTTTTTTTTTTTTTTTTTTTTTTTTTTTTTTTTTTTACTTACAGTCATAGTGTTGTTTCTTTGCTCTTTAATTCCTTTCTACTCCTAAAATCTGTGGGGTTTGCTTTGCTCCTAACCATTGAATCCAATTTTAGTGTAAAAACACTCTAGTTCCACAAGTTCTTTTCAGAGTGGTAAAAGCTATTTCAGAGTCTGTTGCAGTATGCAGGGTCAGACCCACAGGCCTCGCCCTCGCCCTGCCACAACCTCACAGTTAGCAACTGGATTTCAGCTGGCACTTTCTGCCCCCACACTCAGTACTGAGAGGTTCCTGTGCCATCTCTCCTCCTAGCTCTTGTGGCTCCTCCTCAGACAATGGCGTCACCGTCTCAACACTCCTCTCCTGATCATTTCTGATTATTTCAAACAAAGCACTGGACAGACAGAAGGTAAATCATAATCCAAATCTGGCCAGGTTTGTTCTCTTTACTCCATATTTAGTTCTTCCATATTAAAAAAAAAAAAAAAAGGCATTTTTGGAGGACTCATCAAGTAAATGAAGAAACTAGCCAGCTGTTTCCCCTGTGAGTCGCATCCATAGTCTCTGCAGAGAGCGCAATAACTTTTAATCATATTGCAATTTATGGGACTTGGGCAATAGGTGAATATTCCCAGACCAGATTAGTGGGTTTCCCCAGCAATGCACTGACCCAGTTGCATATGATAACCCTGCTGTGTGCGAGCGGCTGCCTTTCTGCAGTGGAAGAAGCTCCATATCACTGTCTACAGCAGTGATGTACCTATCCCAGGCTTCACTCGGATCTTGTGCCACATGGAGTATAGAAACTTTGCTGGTTCCAGAGCTGCGTGGTGCCCCAGCAGCCCAAGTCCTGGGTCACCTCAAGATACCTGCCACCCACAGCCTGGCTCCAAAAGGCACAGCTGGATCTTTGAGTGCATGAGAAGAAGGGTAGGAGACAGGGGAAGCAAACACATTCTCTCTTCAGCCATATTGTCTTATTACCCCAACTGAATAGGTTCTGCATAAAACCACCTTCCCTCTCAGCCCGAGCCAAATGCCTACCATCTTCAGGAGCATGTCCATGCCCATCTTTGCAAGCCTCTGCCTCAGCTCTGTGGCAACCTCTGCACCCAGGTAGTGTGAAATAGGCTCGCTCTCCTGAAATAGAAGACAGCTGGAGTCAAACACACCCTGTGCCCCACCTTCAACCACACCTTCACCTGTGTGCCCAGAGTTAAAGAAAGGTGATAAGAAAACCCTAGAAAGGACCTGCTGCTCAGTAGAGGCTGTACCTGCTGAGATGGAGAAAGTGAGAGAGGCAAGAGTTTGGGGTTTTTTTGGAAAGGGTGTGCTATAGCCTGGGGCAGAAATACTCTTGCCAGGATCACATGCTTGAAAACAAAGTCTGAGAGCAACTTTGGTCTGCAGCTCCAACATCTACAAGGTAAGTGAGGCAAGTATCAGAAAGTGTCAGATTGCTGAGCTCCTTGCTTTGACCCACCACAGAGGAGCTGAAGCATGGTGTTGGTTTGCAAAGCACAGGTGAGCACATGGTGGCCAGACCTACTGCTGGTCTACCTGGTTTCAGGCCAAGTGTTCACTTCTATACGGACCTGTCTGCCACCTGTCTTCTGGGATGCACTGCTTACAAACAGAGTGGAAGAGACACTGAGGAAGGACACCAGTCTCTCTAAGCAAGTAAGAGAAAAGCATCCTTCTGCCTCTGATAGCTCCTCCTCAAAAACCCACATCCTTAGCACATTCTCCGAAGGGTCTTCTCACCGTTACCACTGTTCCCAGACCCTGTAATTCTTACCTCAAATGTTTCCACAAGAACATCTGCTGTCACCAGAGGCCAAAGAGGAGTTGGAAATGTCACAAAATCGACATCTAGGAAATTGTGTCGGAAGCGCTCCAGATTTCTGGCTTCATAGCGTAAGTCAATCTCACGGGGGAAAAAGAAAAAGCAGGATGGAAATCAGTTGCTATTAGAATTAGATCTTTGGGATCCTGTATGAAGATATGACCATACCGTGCAGTACTCAATACCAACAAAACTGGTCAGAAAGCCAGAATGAAAACAAAATAGAGTAGTGCTTATTACATGCTCATAGCTCTCCCAATGGAAAAGTGGAGTAGCAGACCGGGTGACAGATGGCTCACAAGCCAGCACCTTCAAAATATGGATGACTAGCTATAGGCATGGTGTCTTAAAAAAAGACCAGGGCTGCATCACTTTCAAGGGCAAGACAGATCCTGAATTAAAGCTTGCCATTCAAATAGCACGACAGACAGACAGGGTAGAAAAACCACAGCCTTGGCCTCACTTTCCAGATGGGGAGCCACAGCAGGAAGAGATTTAATGTAGCGCATAGAAAACAAGCCACCGTGCCAAGGCCTGGCCCCAGCTCTCCAGTGATCCAGTGCCTTGACAAAAGACCATCTCTCCTGCCGACTGCTGCTGCTCAAGGAGGCAGGATGGCCTTGCCTCACCTCCCTCATCTGGCAGTGGGAAATACCCCAGGAATACTTGTTCTTTCAAAGAGAAATGAAATTACAACAAGCCTATCGGATGCCCTCCTAATCCTCACTATGCAGAGCATCCACCAAAGGCTCCATCAGACTAAACTGATACTAATGACCTCGAGTCACATCTGAATACAGTCTACAGTTTACAGCATGGATTTACCACGCAGAGTTTTTGCAACAATAGAAAAGAATTAAAGCTTGCAAAACCTTGTAACAGACACAAAAATGAAATGAGCAAATAACGGTTCATTTTAATAGAAAAATAAGCCTAGTTAAGCCTGTAGTGAAATCTTTGGAAGTTTAGTGGCAAGGATGTTTCAGGACTGTCTTTATAAGACATAAGTGAATCAGGAGATTTTCAGATCTATTTGCAAAGCTTAAATGATGAGTCAGTCTGATGACAATGCAATATAGAATGTACTATTAATGTATGTATATTAGTTATGCCTATATATACACACACACACACTTCAGTGCTAACAAACACATACAGTAAGCAGAGATTGCAAACATGTGTTTTCACTCTTCAGTCCTACACACATCTGAGCATTCGTTTGGAGAGATTATTTTCTAGGGAGAGTGTTCTCTCACCAGTGTTCATCTGTCACCATGCTGCAAAAAAGAGTGTGACTATGGCTAGGTAGCTGTTCATGTTGTTCCCTAGAAAAGATACCCAAAGTCTAAAAAGATTTTCAAATCTAATACAAATTGTTAAATTTTTTCACCGCTTTGCTTTTTTACTCTGCGAGCATATAAGCTTTCCTACAGTAATGTTATGTGACTGATTAGAATGAAGAACATAACCATAGAACAAGCAAGCCTTCATCTGTGAACAATAACAGTACAAGCATAGTTAGAGCCAGCCAGCAGCAAAGGTCAGTTCTGTGCCAGTACCTGGGGACCACAGCATGGCACATACCTGCTGAATCATAAGCTTCTCAAACTCCTCCACGATCTCTGTCAAACTGAGCCACTTGAAGCCAGGGAGAAGTCCAATGATGTGGCTACCCATCTTCATGAGAAACAGATCCATCTGGACTTGGTGGACCAGGCCAGGATGCAGGACCTGTGTGAGAAAGAACAGTGGCAAGATGAATTTGCCAAATGCTGTAAAAAGAATGGCCGCTTTCAGCCGGCTGAAATGATGCATCCCAAATAGGCTGAACCCAGCCTATAAAACTCAGAGCTAACAAGGCTTCTCTGCTAGTCCTCAGATGAATTCACATTTTGCCATGGATTAAGCTGTAAACACATTATAATCTTCAAATGTAACATGTCTGTGCTGGAGCCTAGTCTCACCAGATGTCATTTTCCATTGCTTTTGCATTCACATGCAGTAAAGCAGTATTTGGAACACTTCAAATGCAAGGTATCTTTAAACACACTTGGCTGGTAAGAACTTCTCTGCTCCAGGTTTCTTCATGTGAGAAGGGCTTTCATTTTCTGGAAGGTGAAACCCATCTTAATATTAATTATTTTAATATAAACTGGGTCCTTGCAGGCATCTCTGGTACTCACATGGCACATCAAAGGTGCCATAGGCAGGATGTGTACTCAAGCTGTCTGGACTGGGAAGAGCTGGGGTCATTGCAAGCCTGTATTGCCTCTGGCTGGAGCTGAAGGGCAAAGAAAGGACAGTGAGGGAGATAAGCATCACTCCTCTGCTCTACCTGGCCCTAGCCAGCTACTCATCTCCATGGGAATTAAAATCTGATTGGTCTCATCCAGCACGCTGTATTTGCATGCATCTGCTGTTCAGATTACAACTTACTTTAATGGCTACAGGTGTGAGATGTCTGGCTGATGAAGGATTTGCATGTGGGAGTGGTCTGGCCATCTGCTCCATAAGAGACATCCCATGCACAGGGCTTCCCCTGGAGCAGTCTGCTTGGCTCAGCTCCTCCTTGATCCTGTCATCCCACGTCTCTTTGCTCTTCCTCCTCCTCAGCCACCTGAGAAGGCCTCTAAAGCCTGCCGCTTCCCACGCCTCAAAAGCGGCCCGTAAAAAAAAATCTCCACGCCCCAAAAGCGGCCCGTACCCGTGAGGGCCATGCCAGCTCCTCGGCCTGGGAGCCGGCGATGGCTGCGAGGTCGGCGTAGGCTTTGTACACCTGGGCGACGCAGCCGGAGCCAACTGGCTCTCGGCTTTGGAACTTGAGGACGCCTGCCCAGTCCTCACCAAAAGCCTTCCTCAGGAGCTCAGCTGTGTGGCCCCACGGGTGCGGGCTCACCTCGACGTGCAGCTTGGAAAACTCATCGCAGAAGGCCTCGGAGAAGAGGTCCCTCCGAGTGCTGGCCCACTGGCCCAGCTTAACACAGGTGGGGCCGGCAGCCTC